GGAAACAAGACTTCAAGACCACGGCCACACAGCCCGGAAGACCCACACCAGCCATCGTATGCCGGCCGTGAAAGCCTTCGACAAAAACTTCATTTATTTTCCTTCAGCCTTTTTATTCTGAACTAAAGATTTCATGGCATCATAAAAACTAAGAAATGATGACAGCATTAATGGATTACCACCCACCTCATCAGATCCAAACAAAATTATTCCAAGAGTATATATAAGTATCCTAGTTCAGCTGTTTCACAACAAAATGAGCTTTTGTAATTGTTTAAAGTCAGCCAGTTTGAAGACACTAAGGATCTTAGGAGATTAAATATTATCCATTTGAATTGTACATTGTTGCCATTTCTGAGTAAAATAGCGTTTTAATTTTTTGGTGGTTAGCTTTTGTTCTTGATGTTATTTGGATTAAATTCTTTTATTATCATGTTGTTGTGTTGTTTTGTTTGATGTTGTCTGCTGCTCAGAAGCTATTCCCTTTCAGGGTAAACAACATTATACAATGTACAGAAAGGGCGTAAGAAACTGAAGGCATATGATAAGAAAAAGATATAAAGCTAAACCTAGTTTACACCAACACCATTTACTATGTTTCTCCATAACTTTTTATCCTTGCAGACATCCTTGCTTCCACCACATCCAAAGAGCGCTTGTTCTTTGAACTTTTTGCTTCTCTCTTTTTGAGGGTCTCGTCAACTCCTTCCAACAATTTGTTCTTCCACATTCTCTCAGACCATTCATTTTTCATGTTTTTGTTCTGCAATTTAATCTTCATTGATTCTCAACCATATTGTCACTTGCTCTTGTATTTAATCCATTCACTCATAAATTCTCAAGAACATGCCATTTCTCAAGCAACACATTCCTACTGCATTCAATTTAACTTTTATGTTTCTCCTGATATACCAAACTCTCATTTCCATATATAAAGTGCACAGAAGCATACCCATTACACAGAGATTTTTGCTTCTATTTTATCCCATATTTGTGCAAAACATTTGATAATTCAGTCCAATCAATTTATCATACACTTTTTCTAAATTAGCAAAAGTTCAATAAACTTCTTCCTCACATTAATACATCTCTCGGTGTATTTCTCTTCAAATATGCTGTTTGAGAAAAAATCTGGGCTGCACATCCCCTGGACAGCATAAAACTACACAATAGTTCCCAAAGTTTGCTCGTTGTCACCTCTCCTGCCTTTTCCCTTAAAATTCTGCCAGACATGTTCAGACATACTTAACAAACTAATCCCCCTTTAGTTTTTGCATTCAATCTCACTGCCTTTCCTTTGTACTGGGGAACAGTAATGGCAGTCTTCCAATCATTAGACACAGATACAAACTTCTTGAATTTCAGGGAAAGAATATGAAAAAGAAAATCCTAAATAATCCTTGAATCAACAGGAAGTTTTAAATAATTTAAATAATAAACACATTGTGCCAATTTAAAACTTGTAAATTCGAACAATAGGCTGTCATACTTGTTCTTTGAAAATGCAATTGGGAATTAACCAAGAAATAGTTGTTACCTTCTGAAAGACTCAGGTGCATATGCCACAACTGTTACACACAACTTGATGGCCTCACTGATTGAAAAAGTCAGGTCCTCATTGCCATAGCAAAAATCTGAAACAGAGAAAAATAAAACACAGCAGAGTATCAACAATATGGAAATACTGTGACATTAGAGACAAAATCAATACATTTCCATTTCTCTTGCCTTAGGCAACTAATTCATGTTCAGTCTCTCTTTTTTTTAAATTGGGCTTCAGCCCAATCACTGTATATTTAACTCTAGCCTATATATTTTATCAAAGTACAATTGATCATTAGTGGTATTTAATAAATTCTATGATGATTCCTTTCACTTTATAATCTAAGGCTGCATTTTGTACAGACATCCATCTAAGAAAAACGAGCAGTACTTCTAAATAAGTATGTATGGGATTGCCTGACCAGGCTGCAATCCTATCGCAGTTTACGTGGCAGTAAACCCCACTGAAGACAATGGCTTGAGGAAACATGTTATAATGACTGCACAGTAAAACCTACTAGGAAACAACATTCATTAAAACATAGTGAGACTTACTTCCAAGCAAACCTTTAACATTAGACTATATATTGAGAGAACAAGAACATATAATGCAAGAATACCTAAGAATATAGTATATTATATGTACAAACAATTTATATGGTACAAAAAATGTAATACTGAGCCAGTTTTGACCTCTTTAGAATTTAGTTTCTTTAAAAACACAAAATGAAAGGTGTTTTTGGGGGGAGGAAAAGCACAGGGTTTGAAATGATGGTTGGCTATCATTTACTGAATAGTGGCAAGACCAGATCATCCTGCATACTTATAAGTAACATAATATGATCCTGGCCATTTTTAAAAACTTTTTAGTTTTTCATTTAACATTTTTAGTTTTAATGTTTGCAGGAAGGAATGATGGCACAAATATATTTATTTCACAAGAAAAATGGCTATTTTTTTAAAAAAAGTTTGAAAATACCTAGTGATTTCAGAGGCTTCTCTGCTTTTACCAATTCTAGAATATCCAGATTGTCAGAAGTATCTCCTTCTAAGGACTGTAGGAGATCAAACAGGCACTGAGCAGACACTCCCTTGCTGGGTCCATTGTATGCAGCATCCTACAGTGAAGAAAGCAATGTTGTTCTATTTATTTGGTTGTTTATTTACTGGATTTCAAGGTTTCCCTACTCCAAAAAGACTCTGGGTGACCTAAAATTTTTTAAAGAATACACAATTTTTTAAAAAGGAACACTGACACCCAGTGAAAACCACTTATATACCACTCATAAGTTTATGACTGAAGTAAGCAATACCAGTTTTGGATATGTGAGAATTTTATACGAGAGTTGCTATCTTCAGTCCCTATAACCAGGAGGTTATATAACAAAATCTAAGAGGTCCCAAGGTGGTCTGATTTTCTGAAATGAGCTGTGTAAAATCAAGGTGATGAATGCAAACTAGATGGTGCATGAAACAAATTATTTCATTTTGTATTTTTTAAAATGTTCTTTTATTTAATTGCCAGCCACAATCTTCCTGGACATTGTGCCCTGAAGATACCCTTTGCTGTAAGAATGAAACTATTATTAATGCCAATATCAGCTTACTTCCCATAGCAGAGGATCCTTCCCAGTGATGGCTTTCATTAGGATTTTTAATGGTTTCAGAAACCCTATAATGTTGATGTTTTAAGATCAGCAGGAAATTTTAGAAATTCTAAAATGTTATCTATACATTGCAAGGTCAAGCAAGCATTTCAAAAGAATGTTCACATTTTAACTCTACTTCCATTTATCATGCGCAACACAGTCTTCATGGGCAAAATATTGCTAAATATCAAAACTGAGGTGTGAAGCTGAAGGTAATGGTTCACCATTCCCACTTACCCAGAACTATGCCTTTTCCATCATGTCAAATATTCATTTTAACTAGTGCATGCTTAGACAAAAGTCACACCATTAGCATATATTTAGCGCCATTTAGCCTATGCACAGATGTGTCTCTCCATGTAGATGCAAAAAGCTGAATGTGCAGGGTGGGCAGTGTCCATGTTCTGTTAGCAGGAGAATTTCAGCCTCAGTGGAGAGAACTTTCTAGATAGGAGACAGGAGTGCTGAAAATGTGAACAAGCACTTGCCTTCAAGGGATAAGATGAGGGGGCTTTAGAAAAGGTAAGCTAAACTTCTCTGCATAAAGAATCAATGGGAAAAGAGCATGCAAGAATGACGTAGGATAAACCAGTATAAATTGTGTATCATCTCTCCCACCCACTCAAGGACTTTTAACAGTGCACTGCCTGTTATGCCTGCCATTCCAGTATTTCAATAAAGATTGAGTTCCTTGTTATGTTAGTTCAAATCGCTAGGGAGTTACAGCCTTGTTTGTCCTTGCATTGGAAGAGCCTGACAAGTAGGCAGCATCACATTTCCTTCTATGCAATGGCTCAGACAATTTGAGCAATAGAGTGGTTTGGTTTTGTTCTGTTGCTAATCTGGGTGTTCTTAAACTGTGGCTTGTAACTCCTTAGGAGGTTGCAAGCGATGTAGACAGTGGTCTTAGTTTGGTAGACAAGCTCAGACTTTTAAATAATCCTAAACTCATGAATTGATTCCAATAAAAGAGCATATATGTAGCTCAGGGTTGAACTGTGGAGTCCTTGGTGCTGTCTGAGCTTGGTTGTTTGGTTGCAGATGTTTCATTACCCCACTAGGTAACATCATCAGTACTTGGGGGGAGGGGTTGCTCCATGTTTATATACAGTAGCTTGCCCTAGCAGTGTTGGTGGAGGTGTGGTTTTATCCTTGGTAGTTCCTTGATTAGGGTATTGTTTTCTGCTTGACTGTTTGCCTGGTGTTAATCCCTGCTTATCTGGTGTCGGCTGCTGGAGAGGATATATTCTGGTCTTTTTGTTTCCTTCTTAGCTTTCTTATGATCTCTTTTGAATGGTGTGTAAATGTGGTTTATCTCTATGTGTCTATTTATGGCTGTTGTGTCTGAGTGCCAAGCTTCCAGGAATTCCCTAGAGTTTTTGGATTGAGCTTGATCTAGGATGCTCACGGTTTCCCAGTTGAAACTATGGTTGAGTTTCTCCATGTGTTGTGAGATTAAGTAGTTTTCATCATGTCTTCTGACTGCCAGTTGGTGTTCATGGATGCTCTCTGCTAGCCTTCTGCCTGTCTGTCCTACACAGTGGCTGTTACAGTCCTTACACTGTATG